CCATTCTCTTAAAGGTCATCCTTCTCACCCACACTATGCATGCTCAGTACCAGTCGTCTGTGTCCGCAGGTATTATTTTGAAGTGCTCCAACAATTATAATTATCAACTTTGTTGTATCTTTGGTGACATTGGTGGACTGTTTTTGTAGCCATCAGCTCCAAGCCGAAGCAAGGTAGTGTAGTGGCTAAAAGGAAACGCAGTAGCTATGGGATGGACGTGAAATTAGAAGTTACACGTCATAAGAAAAGTGGTGAGCATGTCTCAATGAACCACTTTGAGCACTTTTACTGAACTGAGTGTGTGAGTGCGTGGTTAGATAGCTTGCACCGCATCAACACACCGACCCTAAACGACTTTAAGTTGCTTAAATAAGTTGTAAAGGTAAATAATTTCATAAAATAATGTGTAAGTAAATGTTTAACAAATGTTTCTATGGTACCAAATTAAACTTTGGGAGTGTCATTTAGAATGTGATGGTCCTGATTTAGACCCTATTTCTTTTAATTCTTATGGGAATTATTTCCCCTTGATAAGTGGATTCATTATCAGTGGCTTTCGTCTGGCCCCTATTAACCACTTATAACGAGGAACCCCCGTAATAATTTCTTATCAAACCCTGAGGACCGTAAATACCATACATCGTAAATAATGCACACTGTAAAATACCACACACTGTCAGTTAATCACAGCACAGTATAAATATCTAGAATATGGGGTCATGATCCAAATTCCTATATATACAATACAGTAGTATTACCCAAAAATCAACTTGAACGAATATAGTTTTTTTTCAATATTATAATAAGCATATCCTTCTGAAAAACAAAAGGTAAAGATTACGTAATAAGCAATGGATGGGCAGACCTTGTGTGGTAAAGAACATTTTACAGTCATAGCCAACATGCTTCCTCCTATCCTGAAAACATTGCATTTGCTGGGTTTTCTTTCCTGTCGGTGCTTGCTATGCTCATGATAATATCTTTTAAGAGTAAATTTTCATATTTAGAACAATATAACCACAGCAATCTTTGAAGTGTTCCCAGCGGAGTAAAAAAAATACGCTGTGAACCAGATAATTCAGAAACCCTTAAAAGTACCACAACCTGGACTGACTACCGACTCTACTATATTCATGGCTCAGTAAACAGACAAGGGAGGTCAGAAGTATGAGATAGACTTGAGTGTATTTGTATGAACAATACTGTACTGTAGTGAGAAAAAGTGGAGTGTGTGTTTCTATGAACAACACTTGTGAGGTGGAGTGTAGTGGGATGGGTAGTCACGGTTGTGGTGTCTGGCAACTTCCTCAGTTTGCTCTGAGATAAGGGAGGAAAGCTGTGGGAGGGAAGGGGGGCAGCAACAGGTTACACAATTTTTGTACCTGTACAACACATACAGTATCCTGTAGTTTCATGTTACACTAATACAGTTCAGTACACAGGTATCCCTTGTTTAGTGTTAATTCACTTAATGCTAAATGGGTTTGATAAAGAAAATTTGACAGCCTTTCTCATTTAACATTTGGTCAAAATTAAGTCAAGTGATAACTTGACTCACTGGGTAGGGGAAAAACTAGGGATTAGGTGGACCTGTGACATGGCATGTTGCCACTGTTACATGTACAGTACAGGCAGTCCCTGGGTTACGAACGTCCGACTTACGAACATCCACCGATATGAATGAGATTAAACTTTAAATTTACAGTATTTTATTTACCTGGTGACTTTTTTTCTTCCATTTACTGTATTTTGTCATTCTATTTCTTCCTTTCTCTTAAATTATGTGATTCTAATGTATTAAAAGGGCTTAGGTATTAAAACATTGTTCTGCAAGTACAGTATGCACATAAGGTACGTGGTTCGACTTACGTACATTTTCGACTTAAGAACGTCTGTAGGAACGGAACTCGTTCGTAATCCGGGGCTTGGGTGTAATTAAACTATAAGGTTGTGGAAAATCATTACAATACTCTAATGTAGCTTACAAATAAAGAAAAAATTAATACATATAAAACTACAAAATAAGATAAATAAAGAGCAAGGTTGTGTATGTGTAGGAAGTGAACGTATGCATGGACTGAAGGAGGCAATTGACTGTTACTGTGTCACCGACTTGCCACCCACCCACATTCCCTACCCTGATATGACAACGCACACACACACACTACATCCTTGATCACCATTGGGTCAAGACCTATCGGGCACCCGCTACTGCTGTGGCAGTTGCCCCAGGAGAATGTTTAGACCATTCCTCAAGTCCCTCTCCTCGACTCATCCTCACCACCGGGATATCAACATGATTCCGTCAAAAGTGACAATTTCATTTCGGAAAGAAGTGGGATCAGTGATGAACAGTGTTCAAGCCAGTGAATTCGGCACTAGACAGTACCAGCGAGAGCAGTGACCTACCACTGAGATAAACACCCCTGGGAACCATCCACCATCTTCTGGCCAGGCAGTGTTAGTAGGTCCACCCTGGGAACAACCATAAGATAACACAACACCACCTAGCAGAGAGTGAGGTACTCTGACACCACACCACACGGTGTCTCCATGACCACGTGAGGTCCTTCATGTCAACACCCGAGGGCGAGTCACTGCACCACGTGGCCCTTGTGATCTCACACAGTATGGCAAGAGACCAGCCCGGGCCATCAACTGCCAACTATAATAAATTGTACTGTATGTTCAATTCATGTTCTTTCTCCATTTAGTTATGAAAGCTTTTGTTAAACGACCAACTACCCCATGTCTTTGTATGTAACAAGCCACTTTTGTCTAATGTATATTTTTAGCCTTCGGGCAGATGAACTTTTAAAAAAAACATTAAGTAATATTATTTATGATTATTATCTCAGAGTTAGCTGGTGTGACTGCCCGGCTGAACTATGTCGTGTCGCCCAGAGGACGGTTTGAATGTTGAATAAGCTATTTTTTGTACGTACATAAAATATGAGCTACTTATTGTATTTTATGATATACTATATACCAATTTTATTGTTTATCACAGCAATTTTTTTTCATTTTTGACATATGCAATTTGAAATTTGTTTGAATTAGTCTCACCTTTTGCTCAATTAATGGTTTAATTCTGTACCATAACAGTTATATAGAAGTCTGGTGTTAAGAAATCAATCATTAAACTTCAAAACCATTTATCACAAACTTGTTATTATTATTATTCAGGAAAGTGTACTCAGTGTTTACCACTCTGCCGTTTGAACCTGTTGTATGCCCCCTGTGCTTTGCTCTTATCCCTCATTTAGTGATACTGTAATTATGCCTATCATTAGATTTTCAGGAACACAACCCCATCATTAAACTAGGGATACCTGGATATCTATTATACATAATTTTTTAAAGGCTTGTATTGCCACTCCTGGTGAACCTTTCTTTAGCTACTCAACAGCTGCCTCATGCATGGAAAATTACCACCACCATCCCAGTACCCAATACTGTATCCCACATCTTCTCAAAGATGGTAAAAAACATGATTTGCCATCACCTTAACTAAATGGTTGACTATCATTTGCATCCTGACCAGTATAATTTTTGTCCCAGAAAGTACTCTGTCCACTATCTAGTAAATGCTGCAACTCAAACCACCCACTTGGTTTATCTTCAGTGTGTGATTGACAAGGCCAATGGTCACATGATGCTCGAGGGTCTCACATGGATGTGAAGTGCAAATTCCTTGTGTGGATTGTAAACTGCTTCTTATCGACAGGCAACAGGCGTAAGTTCATCCCCAGGGCCACTACTCAACTGTCAAACCCTTGATCTAGGCAAAAATCAAGGCAGTGTACTTAAAACCAACTCTCTTAACATCCTCATGAATTATGTCTGCCATATGAACAACACTAATGATGAGTGTGCCCTCACTGACCACATCATCAACCTGACAATGCATCATGAACACAGGTACTTTAATTAGTGACACAGAGATTCATGTGAACTTCATCAAAATATCTGGATCACTAGAAGAATAATGAAGTAGACAAAATGATCACAGGCAGCCAGATGAATGAAAAATAGGCAAAAAAAAAGAGAGCAAAACAGAATTAAGAATACAGTACTGTATATATTAATTTTGAACCACCAGACAGAACTTAAAAACTTTGATCTTACTCTTATAATATTTTTCCTTTGAAGTACATAGATAATTTCACTTAATTAACAAGAAGAAAGGTTTAAAGGAAACTATATAAAATACAAGGAACCTTATATTTGTCTTCAATATTACAATAAACCTACTACAGTACAGTGGTCCCTCGGTTAACGAGCGCCTCGGTTAACGAGATTTCGGTTAACGAGTTACCTTCCATAAGATTCTTAACTTCGGTTAACGACCAATCCCTCGATTAACGAGTTTCTTACGAGCCAACCTGAACATGATTTCGCTTGCATTTGGCGGTCCACCAGCTATAGTATTAGTTCGCCAATACAGTAATCGGTTCTAGGGCTTAAATTCCTTACCATTTTAGTAAATATCAAGAAGTTTATACTATTTAATAATTTTAAAAGTTTAATATTAAATTTTTTACTCATTTTAACAATTATTGAACATAATTGAAGGTAATGAAACTAGTTTTATGCGTGCCATCCAGCCTCTCAACACACCATACAGGCGTCAGTCTTTGTGTCTTTTCAGTGGAGGTAACATCTTGCTTGAGACTCTCTTCAACTAAACGCTTTTTTTCTGTTTTTGCAAGCAAATTATTGGTCATTTTGAAATTTATTTTACATATTGACAATATATAATGCAGTGCAGTGTTGATTTAAAGAAAATAATCTTGAATTGCACCAAGAGAACTAAAATTTCATGGGTGAAATGGCACCATGGGGTGATTTCTCTTCCACCCCAATGCCTTCTCTTCTCCCTTCTCCTCCACCCCCATTCTAATTCCCATCATCATCATCCAGGAGCCTTCTACATACACACCTCAAAGTAAGTGTACTTTTCTACCTTTTTTGTTGAATTTAGGCAATTTTCGGTGAGCTGGAACCAATTACCCAAAAACCCATTGAAACAATGGTTTCGGTTAACGAGCAACCTTCTAGAACTGATTGTGCTCGTTAACCGAGGGACCACTGTACTGCAATTACAAAACACAGATGAGTTTCACAAAATAAATTGAACGTAGTATCAGGCCAAAGGCTTAGATTCACTTGCTTAACCTCTCATTTAGTCCACTGACCTTGACCCATTAAACATGAAGGTCTCAGGATGTGAAGATGTCTTTATCTCTGCTTCCTTTATTATTGCCATTATTTTAATACTCTACATCTTGGATTTGATATACAGTAACTTCTATTTTATCATTTTCCTTACCTAAGGCTACTTATTAGTACTGTACTTTCCTAGTCAATACTGTAGTTTCAACTTCAAAGAATTTTCTAAATCAATGTAGATCTCATCAAGCCTTGACCATCTGACTGGAAAAAAATTGACTTGACATAACCTGAGCAGCCAAAATTATTACTACGTATATCACTCTGACCATACAGTTAAAATTATTTACACTTTACAGAAAGAACTTTTCTTTAACCTAATTTTTCACTACACCTGAGGTTTTACAAGAATAGACCAGGGAGATGAGGTGAAAGTGAAGAGATCTGGGTTTTTAACAATACAAAATCTATAGAGAAATAGCAGGCAGGTGAAGAACAGTGTCTTAGTGGGGAACAAGTAATCTTGCCGATCTGGGTTAAAATCCTGAAAAATTATTTATATTTATTTAAAAAAGAATATCATAAAAGACGATTCAACAGTCTGTAATACTAAAGTTACATTTTATAGGTATTTACTTTACAAATATTCTTTATATAGATGCTAAATGATTAAATGAATAACAGTAGCAGCAGAATCTCTGTATTACAATGCTTGTGACTAACTTACTGCACAATAGTGAATTTAAAAAAAAGGCAAGAGTTGTCTCCCTCATCCTCTGTTAGCCATCTGGAATAGTTTACAACTGCATGTATGTACGATATAAACAGTAATTATAAATACAAAATCTTAAGACAAGTAGTATACAGTACTGTGCTGTAATTTGATACATGCTTGGTGGCTCACAAAGTTAGCTTCCTGTAACAACTGTGATGTATCAAGTTGTGAATGACTTTCTAAATAGTTGTATACTGTACACTGCAAATGACAAAAAATTAATGTTGTACCGGCATGTTCTAAATTTCACCTGTGTATATGTGGTCTAGTATGAGGTATATCTTCTTTAATAAATGTTTTTTAGTTACTGATTATCTAAACATGCATATTTTTGTGTCACCTTCAATGCAAAATACAGTAGAGTACAGCCTCAAGAACTGGAAAAGCTTATGACCAAACCCCTTCCAGACTTGTGAATAAAAACATAATAAAATGCAAGAGCTGCATTAATGGTAGACACATACTGTAGTTGGCATCCATCTGCTCTACAGGAGGGTGAGCTGAGTAGTTATTAAAAAGTAAGTCAATTTTACAGTCCTCTGACAGCTCCATCTTGCAACATTGTGCATCAACCTTAGGTACAAAATTATGGGTACAGCAGTCAGTAGTTATTTCTTGGGAGATCCATGTTCGTTTACTGTATTAGCCTTATAAAGTGCAGGCATAATTTTCAAGTTTTGCTGAGAATGAATCCTAGCATTCTTCCCTCTAAATAGCAGCTTATATTTATGCATGCCAGCAGCATTTGCACACAATAGAACAGTAAACTTCTTAAACTTTTTGACACTATATACCACCTCCAAAACAACACCAGTCTCATCTGCATAATAAATATGTTCAGTGATAAGTTTTGTGTCCTTCATTAACTTAAAAAATAAGGTAATGTACTTTTCAGCAGCCTCATTATCAGCCAACATCAGTTCACCACTAGTCTTTGTAGGATGACTGCCATGCTATATTCAAACCTTTGTATTCAGCCTTGAGAACACCCATATTGTTTACAACGCATTGATCTCTTGTTAGATATCATAAAGGAAATAAAACATATGCGAAAAATAAATAAATCACTGCCATTAAATCAAAATTAACTGGGCACATTAAAATATCTAAGATGGCAGCTGGGAGGCAGAAATCAAAAGCTCCCAGATGTGATTGGTGATTCTGTGAACTACAGTACCTGTATACTCACTACAGTATTGTACCTCTGAGCCCCTTTGCTCCTTTATTGATTTCTGAGGATTTTTTGGACCTCTGAAATAACAGCATTATTGAGTAAATTTTAAGGATAACAGTAGGAACCAAAGTTTTGAGTTCTAAATTATTAAGGTTGCACTGTCTCCTAAATTACTGTAGTCTAAAGTGCAAAATATTGAAAAAAAAGTGTATTATTGTTGATATTTTCTTGTAAATAGCATATTGCAACAGAATAGCTAATCATGGTAGTAGTGTACAGTACTTCTAAAGAAATGCAATGTAATATCTTAAACAAAAGATTAGAGACTTTTCAGTGTTTATTACCTTAATGTATCCAAAGCAATTATTAAGTCATTGTATACTTTGGCTCACAGTAATTTTGATAAGGGGCAATAACTTTTGATTAAAAGAGGGACCAAAAATATATCTGAGGCTCAATATAGGTGCCTGAGCTACCATGTTGTTGAAAACCATGCAGATGAAGTAAAGCTGGGAGAAAAAAGTGAGGTAGGGGAGATGAGAAGATGAAGGAGGCTAAAGTGATGATGGGAAGAGCGGTTAAAGAAGAGGAAATAGGATCTGAGGTAGAAGATGGTTAAGGTGAGGATGAGAGAAATGAGGGTTAAGGTAGAGTTAGGTGAGGGCAGGGTGGAGTCATAATCTCATCATCCTTAATGTTGAGAATTCTATACACAGTGAGACAGAGTGATCACACCATAAGTTATCATGACTAATATGTCAAATTTTACAGTACAGTACTCATTTGGTGCATCACTCATAGATATTTAAGGTAATATTCAGTCTGCAGAGGTTTATTATTTGCTTCCACTTGATATACTTCAAATTTTGGTAAACACACAACTACATTTTGCAGTTTGTGAAATACACAAGTGTTCAGTTTTCTTAAATAAAATTCTTTTTGTAGCACTAACATAAAATTAAATCTATTCTACGTTTCTTCAAGTTAATGTACATGCATTAAATACATTTCTTATGAATACTTAAAACATGATTAACTAGAGTGCTTTTCTGAGTAGCTCGGTAGGGACAGTCTGTACAAGCAAATGGTTTCTCCCCAGTATGAGTACGTATATGTGCCTTTAAATTTCCTTTTTGAGAAAATGCTGCAGGGCAGTGTGGGCATGCATATGGCTTCTCTCCAGTGTGAATACGTATATGCTTTGATAAGCCGATCTTATGATTTGTAGAGTATTTACAATAAGGACACTGATGATTCTTGCCACTAGTTGTTCTTCCATCTTGTTTCAGATGATCTGTCTTTGACTCCACCTGTGAGGGAAAGTAACCTTAAATTCTTTTCACAAGAAAAATAAAAAAAAAATTCCACATTACGTTTATCAGAAACAATACCAAGAAATGTACTATCTGAAGCACATAAACTAAAGCTAAATATAAATACATTACTTCACTTATGTTAAAAACCTACTCAACTTCTCATTTTTCAAAGTAACTTGGACAGACACAGAAATGTTATTCTCAAGCACATTCATTATTTACTTTTCACTCAAGACGTGCATGTGATGCCTTTTCAGCGAATTCTTGAAAGAAACATTTTAGTTCCTTAATTGTGATAGCTGTCATTCTCCCAGTCACCACAAGTTTCTCACACATTCTTATGATACAATATATACAATACAAAACTGGCTCTCTTCAATTAAACTTCATAAATGAATTCTCTCCCCTCTAGGATCAACTAAATTTGTTTCAATATTCAAATGAGTCAGATGAGGTAATATGTAATGTCATGTAAAATAAAAATAACACTGTCTAACTATGATGATAGAAACAAGGTGTGTGAGGCTAGTGAATGTGAGTCCCTCAGACCTGCCAGCCTGTTCAAGGTAGTGTAGATACATCACACTGTAAACTAAACCTTCTATAGTACAAGAGGTGAGTGTGGCCAGCACTGCACCAACCACCTTTATTTCCTCAATTGAAAAGTTAGGTACAGTACTAATCCACAGTTGGGAGGATAAGTACTGTACAGTATGCAAACCAGTAACTGTCTCGACATGAGGCAAGTGTTATATCCACTCAGCTCCTGCATCCCTTGGAGGACAGCATTAAGGGTGAAACTGAGTAAGGTGATTGTATATTTAAATAAATTAAGCAAGAAATAATAGCAATGCATGGAAAAAAAAAAAAAAGAGGTAGTGGCAAGAATGAAAGTGGCATGGAGAAAATCTTGCATAAAATGTACCAAGAGGAGGAAGAGAAGAGGAGAGAAAGAGTAAAGATGGGAATAATAAAAAAAACTAAAATAAAACCCTGAAGATTATGCTGTGAGAAAAAAGGAAGAGAAGAGTAGCTAATAAAAACTGAGTAATAAAACAACCAAAGAGTTAAGGAGAGGGGAAAGTAGTTACAGAATAAAACAAAGAAGGCAGAATATTACAAAAAACAGGAAAGAAGGAAAGATAATAAGTGGAAGGAATATTTGAAGAGTACCGGTACTGTAGATGGCACAGTACATGATCATACAAGAGCAGCAAGGATCTCATGCTGGGGATAGTGAAAGAAGAAGAAGAAGAGGGGGAAAACAAGTACTACTGTACTGTACATCATCATCATTCTCACCATTTTACGGTCATTTTACATGCTTGTGTGGGATAGCTGAAGACATGGTGTCCTGGTTTTCCTTATATATTTAGTTACAGTATCTCCCTTTATTATTTCCCACAGGGTGCTTAATTATCCATTCAAAGTCATCTACACCGTGACACGTTTGATCAGCACAAAAACCTCCCTCTAAACTTCACTAAGTGTTTAGTGTTTTCTCTCTATCTCTGAACTGTGTATGATCATTTCTGTAACATTTAATTCTTTGAAAGTTAATAACTTATATAATAAAAAGAAATATTATTGGCCATATTCTTAAAACAGTGGGAAGTATCACCCCAACAGCCTCCACGATAAACTGTAATCTCAAACTTTTTGGAGTGAAGGAACCTTCTGGGGGGTAACATCCCCCATGTCCCACAATACATAAAGAAATTCCAAGGTTATAGCACCCCTTCTTTATCCTCCTTGCATCTTTATGTGAATATGAGGTACTCTTGAGAACTGCATGAATGCAATAAAAATCACATAATGAAACCAATTTACAATTCACATGAATTACTGTACTGTAATGTATATGACGACCCTGAAGTGCTAAAAAAAATCATAACTATACATGTTTATGAAAACCCCAAGAATGTTAATGATGTTAAACTCATGGCCAAGCACTGAGGCTCCCTTACCACTTTCAAGTTGTCTAAGCAGTTGCAACTTTGTTTCCAAAGTTAAGTTCTTCCTAGATTTCTTGGTAGGGTTTGTGAAAGGTAGAAGGACTTGGAGAATGTTTGGGAGGTTCCTTAATCCTAAACAAATGACAAACACAAACATCTGTACAGTAGAAGACTCACAAGAACCAGACATGCATTATTACCTCCCTATTTTCATTTATATCAGGCTAAGGTTTGCATGTACATGGCTGTACATTGCTGCTAACTCCCCTTCCTCCCTGCCTAACTTCTTCCAACCTATCACACTTATGCCACTCATTTGGCAGAAAATTATACCACATATACCATTAACACACAGAATACAGCTCGGTAACCTGACTGCCTTTGATGGCCACAATGTACGAGGTCTGTCCAAAAAGAAACCAAACTTTTTAAATAGCGCACCAACGAGCCAGCGCAGAGTGCTCGCAATGGGAGCTCTGTGTGGCGGTGACCTTGACCTTTAGTCTAACACTAGCCGCATCACGCCACGTCAATTAGTCATCGAGCTACATGTGCTAGAGTGAATGTGTGTTTAGTGCACTTGGCAATTTGTTGCAACTTGAACAATGAAGGTTCTTGAAGAGCAACATGTTTGCGTGAAATTCTGTTTCAAACTGGGAAAAACTTTTAAGACTTTTCAAATGTTGCAACAGGCTTATGGGGAGGATTGTTTGAGCCATATGCAATGTCACGTGTGGTACAGCGTTTCAAAAGGGGAAGAACATCCACCGAAGATGATCCCAAATCTGGACGTCAGAGTCGCTCAAATGTGGAGGTGATGTTGATCGTCTTTTTTGATTGGAAGGGCGTCGTTCATCATGAGTTTGTTCCACGTGGTCAGACAGTCAATAAAGAGTTTTACTTGGAGGTCCTGAAGTGTTTGAGGGAGGCAGAGTGAAGGAAGAGGCCTGAGGCGTGGACAAACAAGACCTGGATGCTGCACCATGACAATGCACCTGCTCACGCGTTGCTCCTTATCTGTGACTTTTTGGTGAAGCACGAGACGACTATCATCCCCAGCAGCCCTACTCTCTGGATTTGGCCCCTGCGGACTTTTTTATTGTTCCCAAAGTTGAAATCCACCCTGAAAGGTCGCCGATTTCAAATGATAAGAGATAGAATAAAATTCGCTATGAGACCTGCACACCATCCCTCAAAACACGTTCCAGAACTGTAAAAAAGTTGGGAGCGGTGTATCAACAGTGGAGGGGAGTACTTTGAAGGAAACAGGTCTGATTAAGTTGTAAGTAAAGCAATAAATTTGTTTTTTTAAAAGTTTGATTTCTTTTTGGACAGACTTCGTAAATCTATACAATACATTAATATTTGTTCAATGCAAACACATTAAAATTAATATTTTTAAATAAGCTTCTATCCCCTTCATCACATACAGTACTGTATGTACAGAACAGTACTGTATGTACTGTACTGTACTGTAATAACAAAATATTACCTTAATGCACTATATTATAAATAAATAGATATTATTATTCAATACTAACCAATCAGAAATGCCATGAGGACCATTAAAATATTTCACAACCCATGTTTGTCGGATAAGTTATGTGTAAATGTTGACCAGAGAGCTTATGTAATGTTTACTCATTATTATCCCTCCTGGAAATTTGCATTAACAAACATATATATTTATATTGTGAAGTAGCTATATAGCTCTTTTCTACTGGGCCAACCTATGAGGTAAATTGTTGTTATTTTTCAACTCATAATTTTGAGTAGATACAGTATATGTACAGTATTTCTATTTAATTTCTTTTAGTCTGTTACATGCTCACACAATGTGCAAAAAATAAAAGAAATGATTACCATATGATCAAAAAAATAAAGAAAATAATTTCTTATGTCTACAATAAATAGTGTGCGATCATGGGAGGGGAAGGAAGGGTAGAGGGTGCAGCATAAGGGTGTTGATGGTCACATGAGTGTGGTGGGGGTGGGTAGTGTGAGGTGGTGGTGGGGTGGGTGGTGTAGGGAGGTGGGGTGGAGGTAGTGGTGGTTGTGGGTAGTGGTGGGGGGGTGGGTAGTGTGAGGTGGTGGTGGGGGTGGGGTGGGGTGGAGGTGGTGGTGGGGTGGGTAGTGTGTGAGGTGGGGTGGGGGTGGGGTAGTGTGAGGTAGTGGTGGCTGGTGGGTAGGGGTGAGGTGGTGTGGCTGGTGGGTGGTGTGGTGGTGGTGACTGGTGGGTAGGTGTGAGGTAGTGGTGGCTGGTGGGTAGTGTGAGGTGGTGGTGACTGGTGGGTGGGTGGTAGTGGTGACTGGTGGGTAGGTAAGTGGTGACTGGTGGTGTGAGGTGGTGGTGACTGGTGGGTAGTGTGAGGTGGTAGTGACTGGTGGGTAGTGTGAGATAGTGGTGACTGGTGGGGTGTGAAGTAGTGGTGACTGGTGGGGTGGAGGTGGTGGTGACTGTGGGTAGTGTGAGTGTAGTGGTGACTGGTGGGTAGTGTGAAGTAGTGGTGATTGGTGGGTAGTGGAGGTGGTGGTGACTGGTGGTGTGTGTGTGTGAGTGTGAGGTGGTGGTTGACTGGTGGGTAGTGAGGTGGTAGTGACTGGTGGGTAGTGTGAGGTAGTGGTGACTGGTGGGGAGTGGTGACTGGTGGGTAGTGTGAGGTAGTGGTGACTGGTGGGTAGTGTGAAGTAGTGGTGACTGGTGGGTAGTGGTGACTGGTGGGTAGTGGTGACTGGTGGGTAGTGTGAGATAATGGTGACTGGTGGGTAGTGTGAGATAATGGTGACTGGTGGGTAGTGTGAGGTAGTTGTGGCTAGTGGTCACAGGAGTGTGGTACGGTAGGTAGTTAGGAAGTGGTGGTTACGGGAGTGTGGTGGTGGTGGGTTGTGTGAGGTAGTGGTGGTGACGAGTGGTGGTGAGTGTTGGTGGTGGTGAGGGTCATGGCCGGATTCAGGAGTGGGCAAAGTGGGCAGCTGCCCAGGGGCCTCCACAATCTGGAGGCCTCCACATATTACAATATTTTATTTATTTGTTTATTC